CCAGCCTGAGACGAGGAAGGTGTCTCTGGGTTCCCAAAGGACAGAGCTCAGACCAGAAGCAGAGGGGGATGGGTGGGGAAGGGGCCACAGAGAGGCCACACTCAGGTCAAGGTAGGACACACTTTCTCAGTGAGCAAGGCCTGAAAGTGGAATAAACCAGATGGGGAGGAAGTGAGCTCCCCATCTCCAGAGGTGAGGAAGCGAGATGACCAGATGACCTCTGTGGCTTGCCACTTCCAGCACAGGGTGTGAGTGTCGGTGGCACACACCCTTGTTGTGGTAAGGGGTTGGCTGATGACTGACCCACTGCCCTCATCTTTATGGGATGTGATTTGCATTTTAGTCTGTGTGTTTCCAGGATTAGGGAACATTCTAGCATCTCTCCCTTTGCTCAACTCCCAGTCTCCACAGGGAGCATCCCCACTCCTGCCTATGTCCCAGGGCATGAGTCATCTGTCTGCATGTCCCCTCATGAGTCATCTGTCTGCATGTCCTTGGACAGCCATTGACCCTGCACCAGTGAGGTTCCCTGCCCTCAGCCACGCTTCTCTGCCTGGCCGCCTCCCATCTCATCCTGCGGTCTCACTTCCCTGCTGGCTGCTTCACAATCCCCCCACTTAAAACCCACCCACACCCTGGCTTTTTGTCTTGAAATGGCTTCCCCTCCACTCTGACCTAGTCAAAGCCTCCCTCCTTTAAGGCGTAATTCAAAGGCCTCCTCTACCAGAAGCTTTCTCTGATTAACCCCCCACACACACACTCTCTGTCTCTGAGCCGTGAGTTCACTGCATCCTGCCACTCCCACAGACTCAGATGACCTCTGGAGGAAAGGGAGTAACTCATCCTCCACACACATCCTGGCACAGGGCAGATCTTCGGTGGAAGGCCATGTGTGATGCTGATGGTAACTCTAGTGAGGGGACAGCAAGAGGCTGACCAGGCAGTGAGAGGAACCCCAGTTTTGCTTCTGCCAGGGACTGGCTCTGTCACCCCCCACACACAGATGTCTACCCATCTTGACCCCAGCTTCTGCCTTGGTAAGGGGTTACTGCATGTCACCTTCCAGGGCCTAAAGTATGGATTCTAAAGAAAAACATTTTCAGACTGTTCCGATAAACATGAAATGTGTCTGAACTCATCAGCTGGAATACTATCGAGGCATCGATGAATTCCCTGAGGCCACCCCAGGGGCCATTGCCTGTCACTTGTGTAGGAAGAGAAGGGAGTCCCCTGCAGAGCACTTTGGCCTCAACCCAAGGACATCCCAGGGCCTTGAGCACAGTAAAACTGGATAAACTAGATAATTGGGATCAGCTACGAGGGTGCTTACACCGTACTTCTGCGTACCAGCCGTGGTCTTTAACACTTTATGTGTTTTAATTCATTTAGTCCTCTGTGAGGTCCAACTGCTGCTGCCATTTTGTAGGGCGCTAAGGCTGACAGAGGTGAGACCACTGTGCCAGGTGCACAGTTCAAGGGCTGAGCTGGAGGCAGAGCTCCAGACAGCCAGCCTGCCCGCCTAACCTCTACTCTGTGCCAGCCCACTCTGCCCTGTGCCCCATGTCCACCCTGGTCCGTTGAGAGGGTCACTGGAGACCACGACTGTGACACCATGGAATGGCACCCCCTGTGAGCACCAGAGGTCATGACAGTGGCCTCATAGACTCTCCATCCCAACCGACCGCTGAGCTGTGCCCAGAAGTGCCCCCACCCTCCTGCCGCTGCCTGCTAGAGCCCTAATTCCTGTCCGCTCCACGTGCCCGAAGTAGCCGCTCAGAGACTTGGAGCCTTGTCCCAAGCCAACATCTCCACCCAAGTCAGGGTTCCCTGGGGTCTCGGAGGAGAGCAGGTATTCTGATATAGAGCATGCACACCCCCATTAATCAGAGGCCGGCCCTTGGCTGACTGTTGGCCTAATGGGCAGAAAGGCAGAAGTGCCTCCTGATTATAAATGTTCCTGCCATGACAGGGCTCTTGATAACTCAGTCAGTAGCTCATCAGGCTGGCTAATGTCGGTCCTCAGCACTAAAGCTTTTAGGCAAAGAGCAGCCTGTCAGGCCTCGGGGGAGGAGCAGCTATGCCTTATTCACAGAGAAGGAAGAGCAGCTCTCTAGATCTGGAGCCTCTGCTCTCAGCAGCCGAAGAGGACCACTGGCCCAAGTACAGCTGTGTGAGGAGATGCTCTGGCCCTGAAGCACCTTCCTGAGGCTGTGTGTCATCCAGTCTGGGAGGAAAAAGGTGTGGGCCTGAATGGGACTGTTGGACAGCTTGCTTCCTGTCAGCCAAGGCCAACTGGTATTTCCCAGAAACCCCAGGGCAGAAATTAGGGCATGGCAGTGGACCAGAGTGTAAAGTCAAAGCCCTGAGAGCAGCGGTGTGGCCCTTAGTAAAAGACAGTGCACTGCTCATACCCTTTGACCCAGGAGATTATCTCAAAGAGGGTAGAGGCTGTGTGCATGAGGAAAGACCAGATTGTAATTCAGAGAAAACTGTGTTTCCACTACATACTCACTTTTGGGAGTCAGGGACCTGTGTTCCAGCCCAGCTGTGCCCCTCACCTTCCCAGTGACCCTGAATAAGTCCTTCTTCTAGCCCTGGGTCAGAGTGAGAGCTCTGGGATCTGTTGGTGATGCCTGCCACTGGTACAGGGTAAGAAAGTGCTACTGGTTCATTCCTTCAGTTTCTGCAGTTTTATAACAAATTGTTGGCTAATCCAAGAAAGACTCATCTTTTTAAAGTCTGGAATTTTGTTCTTAGATATTCTACTGCAAAATTTGCACAGTTTTTATAAGAAGGTGGGAAATTAAAAAATAAAGAGAGAAAGAAGATGATAAAAATGACCTATTTATCCCATTGAGAGGTAACCATGACTAATCTTTTGGAACATTTACTTCTTGGTTATTTTTCCCCTCAGTATTGATCTACACACACAAACATGTATGTGCACATGCACACACACTCAAAGAATTTCCACAAGCATGTGGTAATATCTCATTGTGGTTTTGATTTGCCTTTCCCTAGTAATAAGAGATGATGAACATCTTATTTGAGCACTCACTACAAGGCATCATTGTTCGACAAGATCATGTTTTACCTTCATTAAAATTCTGCAAGAAAGATTATTCCCATTTTACAGATGTGGGAAAGGCTAACAAAAATTGAGCAGTGCATGCTGCCATCAGATTTTAATTTTGGAAATCTCACCCAACTGAAGGTGCTGAGTGACCCAAGGGCAGGTGAGAGGTCCGTGGCTGGTGTGGAGACCTGAGCCAGGCATAGCTGGGCACTCTCCCTCCAGGGCCTTGCCTCCAGGTGCTGCCCCTGCTGCAGGGGGCAGCAGGTGACTCATCTTCTTTTGTCAGCCACGGAGGAGGAGGCAGAACCATCTGGGGCTTTTGTCTATGTCCATATTCTTTTCTCTCTGTCTTTCAATGTCTATGAGTGTACGTCTTTTTTTCTGAACCACTGAAGGGCAATTTACATCTTTGCCTTTTACCCTGAAATACTTGAATATTTCCTAAAAGCAAGAATATCCTCTTCCCTACCAGAGTGCATTGTCGACTTCCATAAGTTTGACATTGCAACAACCCTTAAAGCTACTCCTCACACTTCGACGTGTCCTGAGAGAGTTGTCAGGATGGGATGCAGTCTAGGGTGAGGTGTCCAGTTCTCTGAATGGACTTTGGCCAGTTTTCTTCCCAGCTGTCTCTTTCACTTAGATATAAAAATGGTCAGGGGAGCATTCTGCCAGTGGGCCCCAGAACCTCAGGCCAGATGGCAGATGTAGACAAAGCCTGTGTCGGCAGGCGAGAGCTGGAGTATGTGTGTCCCTGACAGCAGCAGTTTCTGTGATGGAACTGGTGTGGTGTTCCTGGGTCCCAGGAAGTCTCAGGGCAGCTAGCAATCTCTGCTTTGGGCTGCCTGGGGTAGCTCAGAGGCCCGCAAGTGCTCAGAGCACTTCTGCAGGAATTCTCAGCAGGCAAGTGGGGGGAGGGGAGGAAACACCCTTTCTTTTTCCTTAAAACAGAATTTGCATACGATGAAGTTCACCGCTGAACACCATTAAAGTATGCAGTTGAGTGGGTTTTAGTGTATTTACACAATTGTGCAACTATCTAATGTCACCACGATCTAATCTCAAAATAATTTCATCACCTAAGAAGAAACCCCCATGCCCATTAGGTTTCACTCCCTAAGACCCCTCCCTCCAGCCGTAGGCACCCACTAAAATCTCCTAGTCTCTCCGGATTTTCTTATTCTGGGTTTTTCATATGCATTAGTCAAGGTTCCCAGCACCAGATAGATATCAGAGGATGTGTTGATTTTCTCAAGCAATGAGACCACATCAGGTACATCTAAGTGGAATCATGAATATCGTAAGGCTTTTTCTGTCTGATCTCTCTCATTTAACATGTTTTCATACAGGTTCATCCATGTCGTAGCCTGTTTCAGCACTTCGTTACTTTTTTGACTGAGTAATATTCCACTATGTGAACCGCTACATTTTGTGTATTTATTCATCACTGAAGGGCATTTAGGTTGTTTTGCTGCTGGGAACATGTGTGTACAAGTTTTTTTTTTTTATAGATCTGTTTCCCTTTATCTTGGTCCTCTAGCCAGGTATGGATTTGCCGGGTCACATGGTAACTATGTTTAACATTCTGAGGAATTGCCAGACTGTTTTCCAAAGTGGTTGTACCATTTCAACCTGTCAACAGCAATGTCCTCTTATCGAACACCTGCTGTGTGCCCTGCCATACCTCATCGCCTGTGATCTGAGCGCAAACCCTGTGAAACACCTACCACTGCCTTCAAGGGGGCACTGAGACTCAGAAGTGTGCACGTGACTCTCCTGGGGTCACACAGAATAGGTGTTGCCAGGGACCTGTCCCTTCCACCCTCCTGTCTACTCAGTGATTGCTGACTCACAGAGTGATTATCCAGAAGCAAAAGAGGAATTAGCTCCCTCCTAACCAGTCTTCCTGGGCTCTCTTTTGCAGACTGGAAAGTTGGACCCTCACTACCCAAAGGTTTGCGGGCACAGAGGAAACATCTTAGATATCAAGTGGAACCCTTTTGATGATTTTGAGATTGCTTCCTGTTCTGAAGATGCCACGGTGAGTATCAAGGCAGCAGGTGATTCCCTTCTCAAGGGGCTGGGATTGGTGCTAGGGAGATAAATCAGTGCTTGTCCTTGACTCTGATGCTCCGACCCTTTCATCCTTTATGAGGTGAGGTCATGGTGTGGCCCCAGAGGGAGTCAGTTATATTGAAGAAAAGTTCTGGGCTCTGTGGGATATGGGACAACCTCTTTCTTCTCTATGGGCCTCAGCACCCACCTAAAAAATGGACATTAATTGCTCCCAACCAGCTAATAAAGATCCAGTGAGGTATTTTTCTTTCTTTTTTTTTTTTTAAAGATGTATTTGTTTATCCATAAAGAACTGGAGTACAAGCCAGAGGTTCAGGGACGGTGAGAGGCTTCACCAGATACAGAGTAGGGAGCGAAACAGGCAGATTGATGAAGTACTCTGCTAAGGGGAGCAGCAGGAGAGGCCTGCCGGGCCATTCGGGTCACCTCCAGGGCTGGGGATCGAACTCGCACTGAAGCAGCTACTGCTAGCTTGCAGTGCTGCGTCCTAACCCACTGTGCCACCAGGGAGGACCCGAGATATTTTTCTAATGGAGAAACCAAGTATCTGAGAGATACACCAGTTTATGGAGGCAGACCCAGACTTGAAAGTGAGGCTTCAGACTCCTTCCCCTGAGCTGTGCTCCTAAAGAGCAGTAGTTACAGAGGGAAGAAGTCTGGAAATGATATTAGAAACACTAACTGTGGAGGGTTGCAGCTTTCACTCCGAGCTGCCTGGCAGCCAAGTAAAAAGGGAAATAGACTCTACTGTAGAACTCTTCACTGTCCCGTCAGAGGAAACACACTGCATCAGGAGAAGCAAGTAGAAAAAATGTTTAAGAAGATGTGTGTGGATCCAAATCGGGCAGTGACTGTCATGGTGGTTTCATGAAAGCTTCAGTCAGGTCCTGTCTCCAGTGAGCATAGGACTTCTGACAAGATACCAAATATCTGACATTGTGCCTGCTCCTGCAATACCTATCCTTTCAGGCCCACTTCAAAGATGCTCTTCAAGGTCTTTATTAAGTTCCAGACTAGCCTCAGCCCCCTGTGGCTTAGGGTGGTGGGGTGCCAAAGGAACCCTGGCTAACACCCCCCGCACCCTGCCTCCTCTAACAGATTAAGATATGGGACATCCCCAAGCAGTTGCTGACAAGGAACCTCACAACCTACAAGAAGGAGCTGGTGTGCCATGGCCGCAGAGTGGGCTTGGTGGAATGGCACCCCACCGCCGCCAACATCCTCTTCAGTGCCGGCTACGACTACAAGGTGAGTCTGTGGCTTGGTTTCCTGCAGCGACCTGAGTAGATGACCAGACTGGGCGACTCAGGAGAGCAGGAGCTTACCCTCCCACAGCTCTAGAGATCAGAAATCCTAGTGAAGGTGTCAGGAGGGCCATGCTTCCTCCAAAGGTGCTAGACAAGAATCCACCTTTGCCTTTTCTGGCTGCTGGTGGCCTGGCATCCTCATCTTGCAGCTGCATCACTGCGCTCACTCTGCCCCTGCCCTCAGGTGGCTTTCTTCTGTGTGTCTGCGTGTCCTCTCCTTTTCTTATAAGGACCCTGATGATTGGACTTAGGCTCACTCAAGCCCAGATACACTCCTTAAAGCTCATCACGCCTGCAAAGAGTCTATTTCTAGATAAGGTCATATTCTGAGATTCTGGGTGAGCATGAGTTCAACCCATTAATCCTCCTGGAGGAGATAGGCTAGACTCTGCCCCAGTGACTGCCAAAGTAGGGGCCATGGGCCCTGTGGATTGGGAAAATTCACAGGCCTAAAGACCCAGATTCTATCCCAACTCAGTCTCTGACTTGCCATGTACCTAGGAAAGTCCTTTCGTCTATACACAAATGGGGTGAGTGTGACCATTGTGAGGCTTTTAATTCTCTTCATGACTCTATCGGACTTTACAGAGGCACTTAGGGTCCTCTGTGATGGATAGATGCATGGGGGGCCTGCCACCCTCTTCTGATCAGAGGTACTCTCATCTGTCTATGACTGTGCCTACCTACTGTGCACGTCTCCCTATTGTGGCTACAAGTCCAGGGGGCACTATCCAGCTGTTGGCTGTGGAAATGGATTGCTCAGGATTTGAGCAGTGCCCAGCCTGTGCGATTGACCATGGCAGCCCTGCTCTGTGTCAGGAGGACAGTGCTGCTAACAACTGTGAAACACACCCCCTCCCCCAGATTAGCAAGCCCCCTGGGTCTTTCCAGCATGGTTGTTTTGTTGCTCCAAGACAGATGGTATTTTGTTTTCACTGCCAGACAGCCTGACTCCCAGCTCTCCCACCCCCACGCTCCTGCAGCTTGGCAGCTTCAGCCAGGAGATCCATCCTCCCGCGGAGCCCTCTGGGCCAGACAGCCATCTGCAACTTCTCTCCTGGGGTCTGCAGTGTTTCCCTGTGGCTGGACCAGCATGTGACTGTGGGGCCGGGGGAGGGGCACCTGCTGTGCTTAGGGCTCACTCTCTGCCTTGCAGGTGATGGTCTGGAATCTGGATACAAGAGAGCCTTTAATCACAAGCCCGGTCAAGACAATTGACTGTCACCACGATGTGGTCCTGTCCATGTCCTTCAATACTGATGGCAGCCTGATGGCCACTGCCTGTAAGGACCGAAAGATTCGGATTCTCGACCCCCGAACAGGGGCCATCCTGCAGGTCAGTGCTTGTTCAGGGTCTGGTTCGGAGTCAGAGGAGCAAGGAGCAGGGAGTGGTTGGGGAGGCCCCTGCTGTCAACATTCTGGCCAAGCCTTTGCACATGTGATGCCGCCTTCTCTTCTCAGCATCCCTGGGAAGGCTATATCGTCCCTACCCCTTTGCTTATTACGGTACAGGTGGCGTACAGCATTCTATTAGTGTTAGATGAACAACTTACTGATTCAATACTTGTGTATGTTGTAGAAGAACCAGTCACCCCTATTTCTCAGATAAAACTGAGACCAAAGACATTAAATGATTTGCCCACACTGAAAGCCCAAATTTGAACGTGGTCCAAGCCCAGAGTTTGTCAGCTAGGTCAAGAGGCAAGCTAGGTTGGGAGGCCTTGAGGCACCATTTTAGAGCCACTGTGTGCCCTGCGGCGAGCTCTTTCTGCTCTTGAGCCTCTGGGCCCTCATCTGCAATCATGGTCCATTAGTCCTTCTCTTGGAAGATTCACTGAGATAACCAAGTTGCCTGTGCCCACCTGGCCTGATGCCAGTGTTTAGTGGGTGCTTGGTAATTGCTGATCAAGAGCTCAAAACTGGGCAGAAACTTGCCTCTGTCCCAGCTCAGAAAAAAAGCATTTGCAGCAAAATTAGTGGGAGAGGCTCCATGTGTAAGGAAGGAACCCAGAAAGGCTGAGGTGACACTTCTGGAGGGTTAGTTCAGGCATAGCTGGGAGAAAAGGTGGCTGCTGCCGATGGAGCAGCAGCGTAACAAAGGCCAGCTGGCCCTGACCACATGTGTCCCTTCAGGAAACTCGCCTCCAGGGACACAAGCCCAGCAAGGTGCTGTTTCTGGGGAACCTGAAGAAGCTGTTGTCCACAGGCACATCCCGATGGAACCACCGGCAGATAGCCCTGTGGGACCAGGTGAGCCCCTCCGGCCCGTTCCACCACCCCCCAGCTCAGCACTGGCTCCACTCGTCCTCTCACTCAGCTTCTCGAGCAGCTACTCAGCACAGACTGGCTGCTGTCTGGGATCCTAGCAGGATGCCAGCTGCCTGAGGGGTGAGCCAGACCTCAAAGAGAGAGAGGGAGGGGCAGGACCCAGCAGAGGCGCAAAGCTGACCGAATCTGGGACTAGGTCTGGGCAGAAGGGAGAAGGAGAAGGCCTTCTGGACAGAGGGAACAGCTGCGCGCAGGCTTGGAATGGAAGACTGAGACGTGGGGGCCAGAGAGCTGTCTGTTCAGGGCAGCTGGAGGTGGAGGTCAGGGTGGAGGCAGGGCAAGCAGTATTGATTCGAAGGTGCAGTTGGCAGGAGTTTCAAAGATGGGCAAATCACTTCCTCTCTCTTAATCTACCTCTTATCTATTACAATAAATAATACAACAGCCTAGGGAGGTTCGGGTTGAGGTCAAGTGTGTGAGAAGGGATTCGTTAAAAGCAATGCTGGCAAAATAAATAGTGCATTCTCCCTGCCACACACACCGGCTTGTGTGTGTGTCTGTGTGTGTGTATGCAGACACACATGAGGGAGCGCGCACGCGCACACACACACACACACACACAGGCAAGGCACACTGGTGGCCTTGCAAGTGACTCACAGGCCTTCCTGGTTTCCCTTCCCTTGCAGGAAAACCTTTCTGAATCCGTCAAGGAGGAGGACCTGGATGGCTCCTCAGGCGTGCTCTTTCCCTTCTATGATGTGGACACCAACATGCTCTACGTGGTGGGGAAGGTCAGCTGAGCATGGGAAGGGATGGTCACCAGCTGGGGGTCGGGGTGGGGGCAGGCGGCAGAACTAGCCTGAGTTTATTCCCCTGGTGGCCAGAGAGCAGCCCCTGGGCCCCCTTGGGGTGCAGGACAATGGCACAATAAGCAAAGCCTCGAACACTGTCCCCCATGTCAGTCCCATGCCCTGTTCCCAGCCACCGTCCTGGCTCTCCAGGAATGCCGGTGCCAGGGCTTCAGTGGGACGCCCTGAGCTGGGCCCTACCCAGTCCGGGTACAGATGAGGAGGGAAGCTGTCAGTGATTCTCAAAAGGGACACCTTCAAATTTGGAGCAGAACAGTCTTCACTGGGGAAGACTCGCCCATGTTTGGCATCCTGGCCTCACCCACAGATGCCAGCAGCCACAGTCCCCAGCCCCACCCTGCCCCACCCAGTCATGGTGACAGTGACAACCAAAAGTGCCCCCAGGGCTAAGATCCACCAGGAAGCCTCAGGCATATCACTTCTGACTTCTGTGGTAGCTCTGGGAGGGGCTAGGGGACCTGGGCACCCAGAATTCCTTAGCAGCGCAAGGGTAAAATGAAGACCCCTTGCTACATTAGTGACAGCCTGGTGTTCTCTTGTGTGAGGTGCCTTTACCAACCCCTCACTCACAGTGAACTCAAAGTTTCTGTGGCTTTCAGTGGAGGCCAGGTTGGGGTTGTTTGGAACCAGCTCTGATCAAACCCCGCTTCTACTCAGGGAGATGGGAATATCCGCTACTATGAGGTGAGCACGAACAAGCCTTATCTTAGCTACCTGACTGAATACCGCTCCAACAACCCTCAGAAGGGAATTGGTGAGTGTGGGCACTTGGCCGTGGGGGTGCTGAGCAGATATGAATCAGATGCTGGTCCTGCCCTGAAGGGGTGTTGGTGGCATCAACGCTGACTCCACGGGTCCTCTAGCACAGGTGTACAGGAGAGTGTTCAGGAGCATACATAGGAAGAAGTGAAGGGAGGCTTCCCAGAGGAGGTGACATTTGAGGAGCTGAAAGTGTAAGGAACTTTTAATAGAATTGATAGAGGCCCTCCCTGGAGGCGTAGCAGGTTAAAGTGCAACACTGCAAGCTAGCTGCAGCCTCTTCAGTGAGAGTTCGATCCCAGAGGTGACCACATGGCACAGCAGACCTCTCCTGACCCGCCTGCTGCTCCCCTCAGCAGTGTACTTCCTCCATCTGCTCCCCACTCTGTCTCTGTGCAGAGAGAAAATTTCAAATACTAGTTTCCCCATAAAATTCCCCAATCACCCATCTCTTAATGAATAAAAGTCAAGCCAAACAAGCTTGGCCTGACACAGGGCCACTGAGTCCCGAAAGTTTACCACAAATCTAAGCTAACTTATGGCAAGACACCATAAAAAGGTATTAGACAGTTCCCAGAGATCTGGGTCCAGTGACTCAGATACATCACAAAATAATCCAACATGAAATCAAGATGGCCGCCATGGTCTCTGCCAAGAACCAGAAACAGCCTCCCGGTGTGTGTCTCACCCACCTCTCTTTTCTAAAGCTCTCCTCCATGTGTCTCCTCCCCACTTTCTTCATTCTGCCTCCATTTATATAACCACATTTATATAACCTGCCTTCCTACCACTAAGGAAGTCTAGCTCATGGCCTGCTGGGGACTTGTAGCAAGAGCTCTGGATCCTGAGGGGATAGACTTGGGGGGCCTTGAATGTAGGACACTTCCTTTAAACGTCTAGTGAAAATCATTGATATCCTTGAAGGCAGGGCCAGAGTCTGATGATCCCAACCCCACTGCCCCAGAACAGGCCCCCACACAGCAGAGGTGTTTGTTTATGAACTATTTGTGGAGAGGAGATCGTGGGAGGAGGGCACACCATGTCCACACCATGCACCAGGAGGGTGCAGCCAGGTGTGGCCACTTTCTCTGGGTCCCTGCGGCCCTGGCTCAGATGGAACCTCTTGGCCTCCCTTGGCTGTCTGCCGCAGGTGTTATGCCAAAGAGGGGTCTCGACGTGTCATCCTGCGAGATCTTCCGCTTCTACAAACTGATTACAACCAAAAACCTCATCGAACCCATATCCATGATTGTACCCCGCCGGGTAAGAGTGGTAGGGGTTATCTGGGAGGGAGGTGGGGACCCCCCCTGGAGAAGAGAGACCTCAGAGCAACTTACAGCTCCTGCCCCTGAAACAGCAACAGAGAAGCAAACAGCCGTGTTCATGGTCTGCGTGGAGCCACCGGGAGCCTGGAGTCCTACATCTCCCTTCCTCTGCTCTTGAGTTGCTTTGCGGCCTTGGGCAAATCCCTTTGCTCTCTGGGCCCAAGTTTCCTCAACTCAGGTTGGGGACAGCCTGGAGCCAGCTCTCTGAGGGTCCTCCTGCTCTGGGCAGCCCCCTACCACCCCACTCTCACTGTCCTGTCTTCTCTTGCAGTCTGAATGCTACCAAGAGGACATCTACCCACCCACAGCAGGGGCCCTCCCCTCCATGACCGCCAAGGAGTGGCTCAGTGGCATGAATAAAGGTGAGGGAGGCAGAGAAAAGACCTGGGGAGGTTGGGGGAGGGGAAGATGGGAGCATCCCATGACCCCAAGTAGCTAAGTAGACTTTGGCGTGTTGTTTCCTTCTCCCAAAACACCAGAGAGCAGGTCCTTGACAGCAAGTCCCCAGACACTGTGATGCTTACATGGGGCCAGAAGGAAAGCCCTGTAGACCCAAAAGCTCTCCAGATCAAGGCATTTTTGCCCCATGAAAACTTGAAATCTAGGACTGCATGGTGACTGGAAACCCTTTGCCCATCGCCTGCACCCCAGCCTTTGATCAGGGAGACCATCCAAGCAGCAGCCACTGTCCAAGCGCTCTGTCCTGTCAATATATGGGCCAGGGCAGGGTCGTGTGTATTCCCGCCTCTGTGATCAGGGTCTGTCACGCTGTTCTCCGCTCCGTTTCCTACACACCACACACACAGACACAGGGCTTAGGGGGCTGAGGAGTGGGGGAGCCTCTGCCCAGGGGGCAGCACTGTAGTCGAGTTCACAAGATCCTAGGCATCCTCACTCCTCTGTGGGCTCATTGCCTCACCTCTCTCTGTGAACCTGCCTGCCCTGCTTCTGCCCTGGGGCCAGGAGAATTCATGATGGCAGGTGGCAGGCTCACGTGGTGGGACTGTCCTAACAAGTCAAGAGCTGGTGGGGTCTGAGGGTCTGAGGGTACCTTCCGGGCTCGAGGTGCTGTTCCTACAGACCAAGCGTCCCTAAGTCTCACACACGGGCTTTTGCACCCCGACTGCTCTAATCCCCGGGTTTGCTGCCATCTCTCCCCAACCTGTGTCTGGTGCCCCGTCTGTCATGAGCACTCAGCCCTCACGTGGCCCTTTGCTTCCTCCCAGGGCCAGTCCTGGTATCCCTTAGGCCCGGCTCCGAGATGCTGAGTTCCCAGCCTCCGCCTGCAGAGAAACCCCTCTCCAGCCCCCCTACCCCTACCTCGTCCTGGCCCCCCGACCTGAAGGAAAAGGTGGTTCCCGAAGATAGCCGAAGGCCCTTCTCCCTGCCAGAGAGGACATCAAGATGGGTGCCAGAGCACAGACACGAGGAGAAGAAAAGCTGTCTCACAAACGGCTTTGATGTCTTCGAATGCCCCCCACCAAAGACAGAGAATGAGGTGTGGAGGAGGCTGGGGTGTGCCTGTAGGGGGCAGCTGGGGTGGGGGCAGGGAAAACGCGGCATGAGAAGAGCCAGCTGTGTGTCCTGGTCTACCTGCGAAGCTCCCTTTGTTGATTCTCTCAACAAACAGGTCATGAGCACCGTCTGTGTACTGACATACTGGGCTTGCCTATAGATGGTGTAAAGTGCAGAGGGCTTGACCCAACGAGCATTAAAAACGCCCTCCAGTTCTGACATCCTAGGATTACCTGTGCTTTCGGGGCCAGTATTTAAGTGCCTCCCGTGTGGGCACTTTGAGCTGTCATCTGGCTGAAAACTCTCCACTGCCCTGGAAGCCACAGGGCTGAACACACAAAGGCTGGCACCGCCCCTCCCCCCCCAGGCATTCTGATCTAACCCGCTGGGGACTGTCTGCAGGACCTCAGACCCGGCTGAGGCTCTGAGCCTCAGCTTCCATCAAGTGGGGGTACAAACATGACTGGTACAATAACAAAAATCCTGAGGGAGGCACCCAACATCTAGTGCCATTCTGTACAGTGGCAGCAACTACGATAATGCTGAATTTAATTTTCTGCTGCCCAGTTTCCAGAGGAAAAACTGAAGCTCAGAGAGGGTGACTTGCCTGAAGGTCCTTAGTGGTGAAAATACCAGTCTTCAGACTCCCAGTACCTTTCCTCTAGCCCACAGTGGATCTAAAGGGTGAAAAAACTACTTGAAACATAAATTTTTCTTTTCTTTCTTTTTTTTTTATTTTATAACAGTTTATTTTTACATCATTTTTACATTTTTTTTCCATCTCAATTGTAATCCCCGCGGGTTTCCCATCACCATGTCACCCGTGTGCCATCACCATAATCCCGTGCACTTCCCTCCCCAACCCCCGGTTTTTGATACCATTCCCCACTCCACCCCCGCAAAATGGTATATGGTTGTTCATTATTTTTGTTATTTTATCGCCTGGTCCATTATACTCCTGCTATGAGTGAAACCATCCGGTATTTTTTTTTTTTTAAGATTTATTTATTTGTGCATACAGAACTAGGGTACAGGCCAGAGGCTCAGGGGCGGCGAGAGGCTTCACCAGAGACAGAGTGGGGAGCAGAACAGGCAGATCGACGAAGTACACTGCTGAGGGGAGCAGCGGGCGGGTCAGGGGAGGTCTGCTACGCCATGTGGTCACCTCCGGGGCAGGCGGGAATCGAACTCATGTGGAAGCGGCTTTCTCAGTGCTGTGCTTTAACCCGCTGCGCCACCAGGGAGGGCCTCCATCCGGTATTTTTCTTTCTCTTTCTGGCTTATCTCACTAAGCATGATCTTTTCCAGCTCCATCCAAGTTGCTGCAAAAGACATGTGTTTCTCTTTTTTTGGTTGCTGAGTAATATTCCATTGTATATATGTACCACATCTTTTTAATCCAGTCATCTACTTTTGGGCATTTGGGCTGCTTCCATGTTTTTCCAGTTGTAAATAAAGCAGCAATAAACATAGGGGTGCAGGTATCTTTTTCAATCAGTGTTTTTATGTCTTTTGGGTAGATACCTAGGAGTGGGATTGCTGGGTCGTAGGGAAGCTCCATGTTTAGCAGTTTGAGGAACCTCCAAATAGTTTTCCATAGTGGTTGTACTAGTTTGCATTCCCACCAGCAGTGCAGGAAAGTTCCTTTTTTTCCACATCCTCACCAACATTTGTTGTTGCTAGTTGTTTGAAGATGTGCCATTCTCACTGGGGTGAGGTGGTATCTCATTGTGGTTTTAATTTGCATCTCCCTTATTACGAGTGATGCTGAACATTTTTTCATATGCTTGTTGGCCATTTGCATTTCCTCTTTGGAGAAGTGTCTTTTTAGCTCTTCTACCCATTTTTTGATGGGGTTGTTTATTTTTGTTGAGTTTCATCAGTTCTCCATATATTTTTGTGATCAGTCCTTTATCACTACTTTTGTGTGAGAAAATGTTTTCCCAATGAGTGGGCTGTCTGTTTGTTTTTAGTAATGTCTCTTTTGCTGTACAAAAGCTCTTTAACCCATCTATTTATCTTTTCCTTCACTATTGTGGCATTGGGTGCTCTGTCTTTAAAGATGTCGCTGAAGTGTATGTCATGTAGTGTTTGATCCATCTTTGCTTCTAGGTATTTTATGGTTTCTGTTCTTATCAAACATAAATTTTTTAATAATATAATAGTTTGTTTTTACACCATTTTGTGCCATTTTCCATCTCAGTTGCAATCTCCGTGGGCTTCCCACCACCTGATCACCCCTGTGCCATCACCATAGTCCAGTGCATTTCCCTCCCTCTCCCCCCCCCCGTTTTTGATCCCATTCCCCATTCCACCCCTGTAAAATGTCTCTGGTATATAGCTGTTCATCATTATTATCATTTTATCACCTGGTCCGTTATACTCCTGCTATGAGTGAAACCACCCGGTATTTTCCCTTTTCTTTCTGGCTATTTCACTAAGCATGATCCCTTCCAGCTCCATGCATGTTGGTGCAAAAGGCTTGTGTTTATCTTTTTTGGTTGCTGAGTAATATTCCATTGTGTATATGTACCACATCTTTTTAATCCAGTCATCTACTTTTGGGCATTTGGGTTGTGAAACATAAACTTCTTGAGTTCCATTTTTTTGGGCGAAGAAAACAAGGTTTGATGAATGCAATGGCTGCCCCCTCAGGCTTCAGCCATGTGAATCACCCCCACTGTTTGGAGTCCCAAAGAACGATGTTTTATCCTCTGCTGCTTTCCCAGGACACCCAGGTGACCGTCCATTCTGTTCTTTGCCAGCTGCTGCAAATGTTCTACCGGCAACAGGAAGAGATCCGAAGGCTGCGGGAGCTGTTGGCCCAGCGTGACGTCCAGGCCAAACAGTTGGAACTGGAGATCAAAAACTTGCGGATGGGCTCAGCGAGGTTCTGAGCACAGGTCTCTGCCCTCCCCACCCTCAGGGACACTACTCGGCTCCATGGGGAGGTCTGAGACCGAATCACAGGTCTCCCACGAACAACCACTATTTCTATATTTTTTACCAGAAAACAAAGCTCTCAGTCGCTGAAAGATTCCAGTGGGACATGGTGCCGTTTTTCTCGTTGCCTTCTTGCAACAATAGTTCCTTTCAGATGCTACCTTGCCTTCTATTTAATTCTGTGGTAGGGGCCCCTGGTGAGCTGTAACCTCTCAAAGGGAAAAACACTGTAGAAAAATGGAGCTGGAAGGACCTAGCAGGGGAATCTACCTCTGGGTTTGAGACTGTGACCACAGAAAGGGAGAAAGACCAAACAGAAAGCCTGTCCCCTCCCCCACCTGAACATGCACCTGTTCAATCAGCTGCTCCCCTTCTTTCCATTTCATATATTGGCTTCTGTGGAATAAATATATCTACTGCTTTAAACATATTAGGAGCTTTAAAAGCAGTATCTGGCCAAACTCATTTTGCAGGTGGAGAAACTAAGACCCAGAGAGACGCAAGTGATCAAGGTGTCCCCAAGAGTTCATGGTGGGACCGGACTGAGCTCCTGGTCCCAAGGGTCTGGCCTTCTGCTGTTCTCAGCTCCTTGAGCAAGGAGGCCATTGGCTCTGGCCTCAGCTGCGTTTCTTCCAGTCTCAATTTCTCCATCTGAACAAGGGACCCTGGGCTGTGCTGCCCTCTACAGGATCTGGCGCTCAAAACCAGACTTGGCCTTGACCTGAGAAAATTACATGTGGGCTATTGATCTGAGTTTGCTGCAGGAGCTCATCAGACATCAGATTTTCAGCTCACTTCTAGAACACAGACAGGAAGTCCAAACCATCCTCTCTTTAACCAGAATGAGCCGAATGAGGGGAGACATTGCCCCTTATAGGGGGATGTGGACAGAGCCCCTCAAGCTCAGACTGCCCCCTCCAGAGCCTTCAGGGCACAGAGCGAGCAAACTCCAGCATGAAGTAGGCAGATTTCACTTCATGGGAACAGAAAAGGCCTCCAGCAGGCCAGGTGCCTCAGCTCTGGAAGTGTGCCAACAGAGCCCGGGGCCATCCAGCTTAAGGACGCTTCTGGACAAGGTGGAGGCAAGGAAGTAGGACCAGGTGACCCAGATTCTCATCCAGCCTGAGTTTTTGTGGTGACCCCCCCATATGAATCTGTTTCTGGACTCTTCTCCAAGGGTTTTCTTTCAGTGGTCAGTACAACGGACCAGCTAGATACAAGGAATGCTTGGAAACTAATGTGACCCCACCACCACCAATCTTGCCCCGGAAGTACAGGTGAGGAGGTCTGCGCACTGCCAGATGGGGGCACTATAAGAGCCCACCTGGCGTGATAGGTCTCAATGCAACAGTGCATGAGAATCCCCAAGGGTGTGTTTAGGAAATACAGATGCCCAGGCCCAACCCCAGCCCAGTTGGCGTGGTGTGCTTTTCTAAGCTCCCAGGTAATCAGCAGGGTAGTGGCCATGGAGACCCACCAGCCAACCTAGCAGTGCCGATCTGCGTGGAGATGAGGACAGTGAGCCTGGCAAGCGGAGATGCCAACTCCATCGTTTAAGTCCTAGTCCACGGCTCCTAAAAAAGTCAAAAAACATTGTCCCAACCCTCCCCCAAATCTGTAGCCCTATGGGAAATCTGGGCCCCTGGCTGCCGCTGCCCCAAGCCAGGACTGAGTTCCCTGTCTACCTGCACACATCAGGTGCCCACCTTGTCTTGGGCTCCATTTCCTCAGTCTCTGGGGCTTGCCATATTTGCCAAAGGTCAGACCCCAGGCACTGTCAGGGAAGCAGAGCTCCGCTGGCTGATCACCTCTTCCACCTCTTCTATCCACGTGCACTTCACAGTTTGCTAAGCCCTTCTCTCTGGACGTGCTCTTCGCCAGCAAAGATGAGGTGGCATTGCCTCCCCGTGTTCAAAAGGAAAGAGCCAGCCTGAGAGAATGAAGAAACATCCTAAGCCAGGACAGTAGTGGAGAAGCAGTGTCAGGGGCTGAGTCCCGGGCGTGTCTTGGCACCAGCTCTCCCGAGAACCATCCAGTCCCACCCTAAGGGCCCCAGACTCCCATGTTTAAAAACTGGACAACGGCATCTTCGAACAAACTTTTGTTTTTTACATCTAGAGTAAATTATTTAAATTATTTCACAAGGGAGAGGGAGAGGTAATTTTTATCAGATATTTTTTTAAGACTTTTTTTAAAATTACGTTTTTGTTAATGTTCTTGACTAATGAAATAGAGCGTGCCCTCATCTCCTTATACCGTAGCCTGGGACCCCCCCGACTGGTGACTCAGGAACTTTCTGAGAATGAAGACAGCACTGAGAGATGAGCTTTGAGGTGTATCCACCTTAGCTCTACCATAATTGTCCTTCCTGGAACAAAACTTGAGATTGTATCATAGAGAGAAACCAGAAGTCAAAAATCAGTCTATGCTTTTTCATATGAAACCGTGCCTGAAATAGTTTAAATGATTGTTTTAATGTTGCTGAAATTCCTTGTACCTTTATTAAAAAATAAAATAGATTCGGAATTGTGCAATGGGAAGAATGTAACAAAGTAATAAACATCTGTCTAGAAATTTTAATACATGGAGGCTTGTTTTTTTGGGTTTGTTCCACAAATGCCAATTTTCTACCTGCTGTTTGGGTCAGACACCAGAACCAGGTACGGCAAACTCAGCTTCCCAGGATTCTGGGAAAAGGAAAGGCCAAGTGGAAGATGTGGAAGCTGGCCTGGGAGAAGCAGAGAGAGCTTCCTGGAAGAAGTGACACGTGAACAAACCTGAAGGACAAATAGGAGTGAGCAGAAACATGCAAAGCTGAGGAAAAGAGTCAAGTAGAAAACTTCTTGGTCTGAAAACCAGCAAAGAACAAAGCAGAGACAGGACAAGAAGCAAGGATACTAAAAGGCAAAGGCTTTGTAGTGGAAGCCGAGACTTGCTTTCTAGCTTTATTGCAGACCTGTTGGCAGAAATATAGAGAGGTTGTGCGTGATGTTGAAGAGTAGAATGAAATGACTTGAATGCTATAGGTGAGGTCCTTGCCACAGAGGCATCCATCATCTCACATAGTTGCCAGTGTGTGTGTGTGATAAGAACATTTGAGATTTACTCGACAAACTTCAGCGAAACTCATCATGCTATGAGTAAGATGCATCCAGAACTGATGCGTCTTATAATGGAAAGGTTCTGCCCTTTCCCTCCACTGCTTCCCCCCTGACAATCCCCATTAACACTGTTTCTGTGAATTTGATGTTTAAGATTCCACATGTAAATGATACCATATATTAATTGTCTTTTTCTGTTTGAATTTCACTAAGCATAATGTTTCCCAGACTCATCCATGTCACAAATGTCAGGCTTTCCATTTTTCCAGCTAAATGACTGGAGTGTATATATAGAGATATAGCTCTACAATAATTGATATATATATATATTTATCCTTCCATCAAAGGGCACATTTTCCATATCTTGGCTATCATGAATAATGCAAGGAACATGAGAGTGCTGATAGGTATCTCTTCAAAAAACTGATTTGATATTCTGATGTCTACTCATAAAAGGGATTGTTGGACAGCTGTGGCAGTTTTTAATATTTGGAGAAACCTCTGGGCTGTTTTCCATAGTAGCTGTACCAATTTGCACTTGGTGAAAACAGAGTTTAGCCTGGGAGAAACTGGAGTTTCCAGGGTGTTTCTTAAAATTGTGGAATGGTTAGCCCTCCTAGGAAAAGGACAAGAGTTTTGCTTGTGAGGCAAAATTATGTTCGGACTGAGACTGTCCTTCCGAATCATTTAACACACGCTCAGTGTGGGAATTCTAATGTGTAATAATAACACAAACCAATAGTCTACAAGGTAATGTCTCTTAACAGTCTAATAAAGAAACAACATAATCCAAGCCAATCAAACCAATAATAGTAATTAATCACTCTTGTCCCAAGCAAAGGGGAGAAAGAAATTAAGTCCCAGTTTAGCTGAAGTATAATTTCTGCAAATTGGTTCTAAGAGTCAGATAAGCCAACAGGAACTGAGGTCCAGCTGTCCCTGAAAACAAAGAGCACAGGTGTTGACAGGTAGAACAAGATAATCTTCACTAGTTACTGCACTGTTGGCAGCACAGAGGGCAAAGATTAGCTTGGCAAGGAAATGGGTAATGTCCTAAGTTCCCTGGAGAGCTACTTCCATCAGCAGAGAGTTGCCCTGGCCAGAGAGCCATCTCAGTAAGTCCTCACAGTCCATTCCGAGATGGACACCACCTTCCTATGCTTTCGTGATGTAAGCATTCTCTGCCTGTTCCTGATGTCAAACCCAAATTTGACAACACCCCGCGCGTGCGTATTATGGTAAGTGCCAATGTCTATCTGCAAAATGAGTTCGAACCATCCAAAACAAGCTTTCCAAACATGGATTTGAAGTCCTAAGTCAGCACACAACAACAGCAGGAGAGAATGAAAGAAAAGTGGAAAACGGACGCCATGCAAGCACACCACCGGAGCCCACGGCCAGCCCCACCCCCATCCCCCAGGGCAGCAGGGGGTAGACCACGTCGGGAGTGAGGCCCCACTTCTGCTCTGGTCACTTCCAGGTCAGACACAAGTCCGCTAGACCTCAAACTAAAGCCTGTGAGCCCCGAAGGTTGCATAAGCTACGCCCACCCCCAGGCCGCACCCTGTCACTCTTCCTTCCACAAACTGCGAGGCTCGGCCCCGCCCCACCGCTAGGGTTTGGGTTTCTCCTGGCTCCTTCCAGCTGGCATCTGGCTGCTGCGGGGGGTGAATGGCGGGCGCTACCGAGCCAAGCGGGACACCTGCGCTGTGCGACCCCGCGGAACTCTCAGGCGCGAGTGGCTGGCGCTGCAGCGAGCACAGCGACCGCTTGGCCGAACTCTACTGCCGCCGCTGCCGCCGCTGCGTGTGCACCCTGTGCCCAGTGCTGGGCGCGCATCGCGGCCACCGGGTGGGCCTGGCGCAGGATGAAGCGGCGCACGTGCAGGTGTGGCGGTGCGGGTGATGGCAAGCACTCGGGTGGGCGATCCCGGCGTGCC